GGTAGACTGCTCTAGTGCCATATTTAATGGATGTCAGCTATCAGTTAACTCCTGTTAATTTCCCTCTGAAAGTTTTCCACTACCTTATTGAACTCACACTCTTTGGGTGCTTTCACTGGATCTAACCAATGCCTTTATCCAAAGTGCCATGTGTCCTTGAGAACATCTGTGTATGAATTTCTGGGTATTATAAACCTAATGCCTCAGCAAACATTTTTACCAGTGTTCATATTGCAGTTTTTGCTGTTATCAGTCCATGTTTTTACTAGAGCTCATATTGCAACTTTTGTTGTTATTATCGCTTTTCTCTGGTATTCATTTTATTACGGGCTTACGTATACATCACATTGAAACACCGGTTGCCGTACGATTACTGAAGCAATTCACCCCAAGCAAGGCGGGAATGCCACTAGTACTCAAGAGGCCACAGAGAGTATAAGTAAGGGAAAAGACTGCGTATAGGGGGTGAGGAAAGAAGAAATGGGAATAAGGCGACAGATGTCGACTGACATGATATTTAATTTTTTGAAGATTATAGTTATCAGGGAAGCAAGTAAGAGGAAGGGAGTTCCACTGTCAAGAAGAAGAAGAAGAATTTCGACTGATATTACATTTAATTTTTTTGAAGTAAGAGGAAGGGAGTTCCATTGTCGGGAAGAAGAAGAAGAAGAAGCAGAAGAAGAAGAAGAAGAAGAAGAATGTTGACTGATATTACATTTAATTTTTTTGAAGATTATAGTTATCAGGGAAGCAAGTAAGAGGAAAGGAGTTCCACTGTCGGGAAGAAGAAGAAGAATGTCGACTGACATTACATTTAATTTTTTTAAGATTATAGTTATCGGGGAAGCAAGTAAGAGGAAAGGAGTTCCACTGTCGGGAAGAAGAAGAAGCCGTTGTAATAGAAGAGGCTGTTACATTCAATTGTTTCGACAGTAGAAGTGTAGGGCGGGATGACTAGCTAGTAGCACGCTTAAATTCATGCAGTCGGGGGCACCAGTGAAAATAGCTCGCCAGAGTAGATGCCAGAGTAGATGCCATGAATATATTTATAGAAAAGATGGAGGGAAGCGGTATTACGTCGGTGAGAAAGTGACTGGAGTCGAGGCCCCAAGTCAGGACTGATCACATTGCATATCCGTCTTTTATCGAGAATCTCGAGATGAACAGCGTGGGGGCCAGACCATATATGGCAACAATATTCCATGCATGAACGAATAGTAAATTTGTAGATGGGTAGGATGGACTCAGACGAGAAAAACCTTCTGACGCGACACAGAGAACCAACATTCCTTTCGGTAGATGAAAGTTGAAACTAATTTCACCTCGGAAATAAGGGTTAGAGTTACGGGTAGGGTTTTCAAATCGAATTGATTTTTGTTCCGAGTTGAAATTAGCTCCGAGTTTAAATTAACTCCGAGTTGAAATTAGTTCCGAAGTGAAATTTGTTCCGAATTGATATTAGTTCTGTCACACGTAATACCAAGTGAGAATCGAACTCATTCCAGCGGGTCGGTCTTCTGTAGTGAGAAGACCCAAATCTTTTCCGAACTTAACCCAATATTGTACACGTCTCATGTTCGCGACACTGGATTCGAATCAAAATAACATTAATAAAATAAGTTTTGGTATTACTCTACAGCAAAGCATACAATCTTGCCTAATCCGACTAAAAAAAGTAAATCATTGGATGGTATATTGAATATGTGATATTATGACGGAATAGACATTGCTCTCAAATTAAACCAGACGGCCAACTGAAATTAGGTGTATCATTGACCTTGTGGTTATTTCCGGCCACCGAATGAAGAAGTACGTGACCTCACACCTGCAATCGGTAAAACGGGAATGTTGGACATGTGGATATATATATATATATATATATATATATATATATATATATATATATATATATATATATATATATATATATATATATATATATATAGATATATAAAGATATATATATAGATATATATATATAATATGCAACCACCAGGGGGATGATTTATGCAGTCCCTCACACATAAGAGCAGAGAATATAAGGACCACTTTCCGGATTCACAACCACATTATCTGGGAATAACTGATGGAATACAGAAGGGAATTAAAATGATAGGTAATGAAGTTTCAAGTCACATGTTAATAAGGCCACCCCACACTTCATTTACATAGATAGGATAGAGTTTATGGAAATATATGTGTCAATATAGTCAATAATACAAAGTGATTGGAAGTTTCGCTCCTAAATCGATCATCAAACTACTCGGGTGTATATAGTAAAAGAGCATAAATAGTATGGTAGACTAGGCTCTCTAGGTTTGGAAGGCAGTCAATCTAGAAGAAGGATAACCCTGTATGTCCATGAAGAAGGCAACAGGAAACCACTCCACTAGATTCAAGTCAATTTTCAGAAAAGAAAGAAAATGGATCTATGAACGGACATGATCGCCAAGTTCCTGAACTGACATCAAGTTCGAGTTTGAGTGTTTGTAATGACTCACCCACTTCATTGCAATTAGGCTCAACGTTGAAATAACTGTACGGACATTGTTTAAAATTTGTGATATTCATCGGATATAGACTCTTTGTATCAACAGAGAACGAAGACACAATCTGAAAATAGCTTGAGGCATGAAACTGACAATCACCAAGAAGTCTATTCCCATGCCTGCACTATTTATACCTCGATTTTCTCGTTTCTCACATGTTCCCTCCGTGATATTCTCAGCATTCGTCGGTACAACCACAGCTATGTCGTTTCGGGCTCCTTGTCAACAGAATGAGCAAGATTAACTACCATATACCTGTTTAGTTGTGATATAGCACTTTAGTACAGATTTTTAAAATATTTTCCTGTAATGAAGGTTAATAATATCACATGTCTAGTAAGTCACCAGATAATTAAAAAAAAACTCCGGCTCGCAGTCCCCAATTTTTAAAAACCCTAGGCGTCGCCTATTTTCCGTTAGCGGAATATGTCCTCGATAGCAACATAGAAAATAAATCCGGCTCGCTCGAATCTGAAATCCTAAACATGGCTTCCCTAGAAACACAGAAGATTCTCCAGCAGTTCAGTTCCTGGTGAGAATAATTATACTGGTTGTTGTTGCATATATGTGTTATATTTTCTCTGCGCGGGACAAATGTAACTATATATATATATATATATATATATATATATATATATATATATATATATATATATATATACATTTTTGTATCAGTTAGCGGTATAAAACGCTTTCTGAGAACAAAGCATATTTATAATTCCTTTACTTTCAGCTATTCCGTTCCGTCCGTGAAATAAGATGTTATTATATCATGGGTATAATAATGCCTATAATGGAAGCAAATACAAAATGGAAGAATATTCATTTGTTCCATCGCTCACATACTATCTGATGACCCCCAACATAATCGGCTTTTTTATCCCTATGGTTAGTTCGAATTCCCTTTCAGAATTGATAAGCAGAAGCACACAAATGCATGCTGGGGTTTCTTCATAGCCAATAATATAGGCCAGTTCTCTATTTCATCTGACTCAGTCCCGGTTTGTCTTGTCTTGAAGTCAGAACGTTAAGTTCGCTTAAAACAATTTACTTTGTGTGTAAATCTTAGTTTATGAACTATTTGCCATATTACTGTTGCTTTGCCTTATTATTGTTAGTTTGTCTTGCATATATTGTTTGCTTGCTTTATATTATTTGTTGCCCTATTCTTTTCTTCTTTTTTCTTGTTGTTGTTCATTAGAAACTTCATCAATTCTGTTTGTCAGGCAGTTTTTTCATTTATTTACCTTTAACCATGGCCATCTACTCTACACCTACACCTGTATTTTAATGCTTTGCTTAGATTCTGGAAGGAGATAAGTAATTACATAGCAATGTTCTATTCAACTATTTCATTTCTTAAGGTGACATTTTGCGATCTCGTAGTACTTTGTTTAATTTCTGAAAGGCATGTTTCTTTATCGCTATGCGTCTATTGATTTCTCTGTTATATTTTCCGTCGTCTGTTATAATATTGCTCAAATAGTTAGATTTCCTTGTTCCTTATATATTCTGTCCATGTAATTCTCATCATGCGTTGGTACATCCTCATCTTTGTCTTATTCATCCATAAAGGAAACTATTCAGAATTTAATGTCACATAGGAAATAAAAAACATCACATAGCAGTTCAGCACAGCTTTCTTTTTTCTTATGATAATTTACTATCTGTTAATACCTTGCTTAGTTTCTTTGCATCGTTGTTACAACTACATCCGTGTCGCTTCTGTCACATTGTTTTTTCTCCTAAACACAGTTTACATAGACAAATGAGGACGAAGCTGTGGTGGACCTTAAACGACTATATCTTAAAGTGGAAAAACATTGTGGAATTTATCTGCCTATATGTGTCATGCTGTTTAAAAAAAATGACACAGTGTTGTCACATCTAGGCTTGAGCTACCCAATCCTCACTTTCCAATTTCGACAGTGTTCAAAATCATTTACGTGCTCTTTGGGGTGATCAGTTGTCTTTAACCCTACAACCCCTTTCCCCACAGGCGAAATGTTGCAAGCCTCTCGCTATTTTATCTTTATATCCATAGCAAACTATAATCCGTAGTTCTACCTGTCCTGTCATTCACAGCTACGATTTCATGTAAATCTCGTCCTCATTCCATCTGTATTCCATTTTTAAGGAGTAAGTTCCACTCAGACAGCATCTTCTTCAGAACAGTTACATTGTGGAACGGACTCCCGAGACGATGCTTTCCCTATCACTACAATATTAACCTTTTCATCTTGGGGGTCAAAATTATCTGTCCTATATAGCCTCGTAAATTACAACCGCTTCATTGAGTGACATTGATGTTTTATATTGGTCAAACAATATTAAAAACAATCGCTGGGAATTTATGCATATCTATTTTATCTTGCACAGTGTATTTGTGTTGGACGTTTTCCTTCATTTGCATTTTTATTTTATTTTGATCAGAAGTATGAAGTCATCAGTATGAAGTCTCGTTTCACGACGAGATTTACTTCTTTTTTTTCTTTTCTTAATGTAAGTTTAATGGCGCATAAACTCCATTCTGAAGACATCCATCTCTCACCTTCCTCCATTACTTTTCTTACCCACCTCCTTTCCCTTTTAAACATTCTATATCCAACCCTGATTGCAAAGTAAACATCTAAACTCACTGTATTTTTTTTTCCCCAAAATCAATACTCATGGTCTCCCATCGATTTCCGAAAGATCGATCTTACTTCTTTCAACGAAGTGTTGGGAATAACCATTATATGCGATATGCTATGATCTATCAAGAGGCATTCTGCAAGAAGTCTTCAAACGCTAATAGGAAAGTGAGTGGATGCACAGAAGTGGGTAAGTAAATGTTGTAGATAGAAAATTCTATGAAATGATAAAGAAAACGAGTGTCAAAATGGACAACAAGTGCAACAACAAGGAAAAGGCTGAAGCCCGATTGCATTCTGCTGATCAAACTGAGTTCGCCTTAAGTTTCATCCTTTTATCAACATTGCTTAAAAGCTTAGACGGAATTTTTTCAATTCCACAGAAAAAAACGTTTTATTTCTTTCATTTTTTTTGTTTCATTTTCATTATATATATATATATATATATATATATATATATATATATATGTGTGTGTGTGTGTGTGTGTGTGTGTGTGAGTGTGTCTATATGTGTGTTTATTACCTATTGGCTTCACTCTCTCTCTCTCTCTCTCAACCATTATATATATATATATATATATATATATATATATATATATATATATATATATAGGGACGTGTTTGTGTAAGTGTTCACGTCGTTATCTCATTATCTCAATTTTCTTATATTCTTTCTTTCTTCCTTTCTAGGACTTCATTTCAAGTATATACAGACTGTCTATCTCTATCTCACCGGCATTTTTCCTCTCTCTCTTACTCCACTACTCTTTGTCTCACTCTTTCTCTCTCACGCACACAAACATTCTCACATATATACCATATATATATATGTTTGTGTTCACTCTCTCAGTTTTTTTATACCAATTTTTTTTCAACCAAATACAATGCCTTAGAGCCATTCAAGTAGAGTGTTCCTGTGTCGTGTTGTATGAGCGTAAGAAAGAGCAAGATGTGAAGTTCATGTAGCCATGAAGAGAAGATAACAGTTAAACCTGTTTCTTCCTTTCTGTTTTTCTCTCTTTTTTTCTTTCACACACATTCAGATTCTTCTTAATTCTATCTATATCTCTCCTCTCTTTCCTTCTCCTCTCTCTCTCTCTTTCTCTCATTCTCACGCACACTAATATATCTCATATATATGTACCTATATGTGTGTGTGTGTATATATATATATGCATGCTTTGTGCGTGTGCGCACGCGCGTTTGTGTGTGTGAACTCCATTTTATTTCCTTTCTCTCGAGAACTTCATTTCAAGCAGATTCAATCCGTTCAACTTGCTTTCCATCTCTCTCTCTTTCTCTCTCTCTCTCTCTCTCTTTCTCTCTTTCTCTTTCTCTCTCTCGTTCTCGCTCTCTCTAGCATGCACACATATATAAGAGTGTATGTGTGTGCATGTGTGTAATATTCTCTATCCCTTTTCTTTCTTTTTTCTTTCTTTCCATTATTTAACTCTCTCTCTCTCGTTTCTACTCAGTTTTTCTCACCTTTTTGTTTTTTCTCCTTTAGTTTCTTCTTTTTCTTCTTCTTCTTCTTCTTCTTCTTCTCTCTTTTCTCCTCAATCTATCTCAAATGCACACACTCACGCATACACATATTCATTATTTCAATATTATTATTTGTTATTTTATTATTATTTATTATTTATTCATTATAAATTATTTTATTTTATTTATTTTTTATTTATTATGTATTATTTATTGTTTATTATTCATTATTTTATTATTATTTATTATTTATTTATTATTATTTATTTTATTTTATTTTTATTTATTTTATTTTATTTATTATTTATTTTATTTTATTTTCATTTATTTTATTTTATTTATTATTATTATTCATTATTTCATTATTATACACATATTCATTATTTATTGCTGTTTTTTCTCTTTTCATAAATTCTCACTGAAATATACGTATTGACATGGTTATATTTGGAAATTTTCTGTCATTTTATACGTGGTGCAATAACACCGTAAGTTTATGATGAAAAAGCGGAATATGTAGTTGACTGAATATATCCTTTTCAACATAATCTCTTCCTTTAACAATATAGTTAATCCATCGCTTCTGTCAACACAAAATAATCAATGTGATATATTTTATTAGAAATACCCGTGAAAATTTATCGGTTTTCCTATTTTCATTTTCTGATGAATCTTAATTCTTCATTTAATGATTGAATAAGCTAATAGCGAGTTCTACGGCAATAAAATATCCGTAGAAATTCACCTATCGCATCGTTAAATATCCGAACTTAAGAATTTTTTAAAAAAATATTCCAATAACAATTATAGATATGAATGCTGGTTGTTATTTTAAGAAGTAAGGGGGTACAAATGAAAAGAATTGAAATTGATAACTTTTTATTTAACTGAAACAGACGTCAAACACTTCTATATTCCCTTCTTTCTTTCTTTCTTTCTTTCTTTCGTTTTCTCTCTGAAACCAATATATGTCTCAGATATGTCTTTTGCGTCCTTCCTCTCGGAACCGGAATAGTATATTATTTATGAGGTATTGGCAGGAGACGTTAACCACTTCTATCTTCCTTTTTTTTTCTTTTCTTTTCTCACTGAAATCAAGTAGTTTCTCTCATATGTCTTTTCCGTTTTTCCACGTAATCCAAAATGAATGGTCCATTATTTATGATAGCGTGACAGTCGTGTTAACTAAGGGAGGGACAAGCAGAACCATAACAAGATTATTCATGATAGTTTATTAAATATCATCTCACTATGACCATCGTTAATCTAGAGATAATCGACCTCAAGTCACGTACATTAATTCAATAAGTATTATGGATTTTCAATGAAAGAGTTGCCAATATTGCGTTTTTAGCTAAGCGACGGTATTTAAATTTAATAAACCTTTCAGGTTTTAAGGTATTATACAGTTGGTAGCAATTGAAAATATTGCCGATGGGTGTATGAAAGGCTTCAAAATACTGACGTCAACATAATGGATGAGCCACAGATCGTTTTCTTTGTTACAGCGATAGCGGGAATTGTCTTTATCATTTTACACCAAGCAAGGCAATAATGCTTCTAAGACGCAAGGGATTACTGTGGATGCGAGAGAATGAGAAGACATTAATGAGGAGAAAGGACAATAAAAGGAAGATGAATGACGAAAGGACGATTAAGGAACGTGGTTCAGGAAGCCAGAAGATGGCGATTGACGCTGCATTTAATTTTTTGAAGATTGTAGGTGGTAAGTAAGGATGAAATCGGAAGGAAGTTCCAGAGGTGAAACGTGAGAGAAAAGAAACTATGAGAATATTTCTTACTCTTACATCTATCTAGTTGAAAAGTTAAATGATGGGACCTAGCTGCCAATCTAGTACTGCGCTTAAATTCATGAAGTCGAGGTATCATAGAAGAAAACTGATCAGAACAATTACCATGAAAATATTTATAGAAAAAGCGAAAGCACGCCATAGCGGCGGAAAAGTGACTGAAGTCGAGATTTGTTATATTATGTATATAAATAAAAAGAAAGAACAGTAAGATATATAATCCCGTGTTCTCATAGATATTTCTATTTTTTACAAAATAGTGCTCAATGTAAATTTACAGAGGATTAATATTATAAATTAATTGATTTAAAATATCTAAAGATTTATTATATTATAGATCTTTCTTTTTATTTTGCCAAGACTGTTGCGATATATAGCCGGGGTACCAGATCAAATATGGCAGCAATATTCAGGGCACGGTCAGACGAATTGTAGATTTATAAATGTGCAAGATGGATTCTGACGAAAAAGATTGGCACGATACAGTGAACCAAATTGCCTAACATCAGACCCTAGCAGTTAATTCAATATAATCACTCCACTTGATGCCAGTGGAAAATGTGTGCCCAATTAGGCGCAAAGTGTTGTTCTCCTTGGCGTTAGCATCAAATATGCTGATGGAAAACTTAAAAGGCTCTCTATGTGATTAAATGAAAACAGTTTTGTTTTAGAATCGTTAAAATCAACAAGCCCTCCTTGCTTTAGTTATCATTCTGAAATATTGTTGTTACCCTTAAAGAATAGGTTGAAAGACTTACAGCGCCTTGATATATTTTCAAGAACATCTATACTAAAATCTTGTTCTTAAAAACGCTTGGAAATATTACACTGAATTCCATACGGCTTAAAAATGAGAATCACGGTAGATGTAGTTTTACAGAAGGATGTTGAGAATACTATGGACGCAGTGGGCGAGTAATGTGGAAATTTTAAGGAAGATGTAAACAAAAAGGAGACTTTTATTTAATTGGAATTTATGGAACAATAATAATAAAGAAAGATGAACTGGAGAATTAAATAAAATATAGGTTTACCATTCGTTTTTGCTTTGAATATTCGATTTGGTCTGGTGCTTTTGCTATATATTTAGAGAAATCCAAATAAATATTTGCAATGTTATTGGTACTGACATGGCAGGTCTGCTTCAATCACTTTCCCACCGCCATTCTTTACAAATATATTCATGATGATTGTTCTGCTGAACTTTTTGCTTCCCAGTCAACTTTGATAATAAGAAGTTAAATGCAATGCCGATCGTATTTATCTTCTGAATTCTTATTTTTTTTATTGTTCTCTCTCCAATAGATCTTCCTCATGTTCTCTACCACTCAAAAACCTTTCTGTCTTTGTAGCTTTATTACTATCCTAAGAAGTAATTGGATGTGTAGCTTAAAATAATTTATTTATCAAGTCAGTAAATTTCTTAAAAAATGTCTTTCATATTTAAAATTATTGCAGCACATTTTATTATAAAAGTATCATTAAAACCTGAAAGTAATTATTTATCTATGGATTCGGATGTATTTTTCTTTGTCTACAAATTAAATTATATAAAAACGAGAAAATATTGTTTTTATTTCTTTCCCTGCATTTTTCTATAGTTAACTGCTACTTTTATATGAATAAAAAAGAAACTTTGATAGTCACAGAATATATTGAAGATTAGAGTGATAGAGGAAAATCTATCGTATCTCATTGTGTATAGCATGATTTGTGTATGATACGATCCCGTGTCTCTGAAGCTAAAAACAGAGAATTAAAAAACATTTTTGCGTATAACACATCCTTTTAGTACAGTTATCTTCATGTCAATCTTTCGTAAAAGTTGTACTATATTGTCCATTATAATTTTAATTTCACTAAAATATTTAATTTCAATTTTACTAAAATATTTATTTTTTTATGATATTAAAGAATAGAAATAACCGGATAGTTAGCTATAGCATGATTCTTCTAATTTTCATTTTTCAAAATTTATTTTCGAATTTTCGGAAAAAAAGGTGTTAACTAGACATACCTGGTAACAAATTTTACGGTGTTAATTAATTTATCATACTTTTGTGTTTGATGTGACTGAAAATAAAAAAAATATATTGTCTTTCATCAAGAATAAAGAGAGAAACAAATATTGCCGACATATCAAATAACTTTTGTAAACAATTGTTATCAAGACATGACTACTTTGTGTTTTATTATCCATTGTCCGAACTGAATTGTTTGTAATGTTGCTGTCTCAAATAAGAGCTTACTTAAGCTGAATAAAAATGTCTGATAATTGGTACTTAAATATAATACCACACATTTTTTGTCAATATTTCTCGTAATATATACAAGAAAATATCTTTTTATGTGCCATATCCTTTCAGGACATAGGCGATCCACCTCCCTCAATCCCTTGCAGCTCTCAACAAGTTCCTTCCCTCTGCCACGTACCCCAGACCACGTTCTGTCAGCCACTTCCTTAAACCCGCTAGGTAAGTCATGCGTTGTTTTCCCTCGTCTCTCTTTCCTTCTATTCGATCCGGGAGTGTCAAATTCTCTAGGCCTTTCTTCCTTATAAGAAAATGGCGTACTTAAAAAGCTTGTGTAAATTGATGGAAGAACAGTATTATATAATATCTTTTTTTATATGCCGTGTCCTTTCAGGACGTAGGCGATCATGGCTCTCTACCTCCCTCTAATCCCTTGCAGCTCCCAGCAAGTTCCTTCCCTTTGACAACTACCCCAGACCACGTTCTGTCATCCGCTTGCTTAAATCCGCTAAGTCATTAGTTGCTTTCTCATGTCTCTCTTTCTCTCTATTCGACCCGTGAGTGTCAAATTCTCCAGGCCCTTTTTTCCTTAGAAGAAAATACCGTAATTAAAAAGCTTTTGTAAATTGATGGAAGAACAGGTATGTGGGATAGTAAAGGTGAGAAATATTATTTAAAACTACAAAGGATAAAAGGTTGTGCCACGTTCTAAAGTAGCACGACACATTAAAGAGGACGATGGTTTTAAAATAAAGATTTTATAATTTTACTGTTAGTTTTAAACAAAAAAGTAACAAAATTCAATTTTTGTAAAAGCAACAAAATTCAATTTTTTATGTAGTAATATTTTGTTGGAAATAAAGAAAAGAGTTCTGGACTGCGACGTAATGCCAAACCCTTAATGAAGAAGGCAATGTTATACTATCCTTCAGAGAGGAAGAGGTAACTTAAATAAAATTAACATTGCATGGCCAAAAAAGGTCGACTCACCAAATAAGTTAACTGAATTAATTTTCTAAGAAATAACTGCAGGGGTACTGCCACTTTTGGTCCTGTGTATGACGACAGACTACATCAGCAAGGCCCTTTGATTAGGAGATTTTGAGAAACGTGAAAACACTTCTTAATTTCTGTTGTTCCCAGATCTACCCTGATCCAAGTTGGTAGTACCCGTTAGGGTCCAAGTTATGTCTAAATAGTTAACCTCCAAGCAGGAGTCAAAACACTATGAAAATATAAGAGATTTTTATAGTAAAAATACCATCAATACATTTGACTGTCGACAAACAGCCTCTTTGCAAAAATTCGCCAATGAAACCAGATCTACAAATTGATTTCTTACAAAGAATACATATTCTATTCTTATGTCCCTCTCCTAACCTTTCATAACCCATTTAGACTGATATGCCGTAAAACAAAATAAAACAAATTGCCATTTTCAATTTTTGTTTGAACGATCATTTATATTTGTTTTGCTTTTCTCTCTTCCTCTAAGAAGTATCTATCACTGTTGATTATTCGTTTGAATTTTCCTTTTCTTTTTCTGGTCATGTTCTCTCTCTCTCTCTCTCTCTCTCTCTCTCTCTCTCTCTCTCTCTCTCTCTCTCACTATCTATCTATCTATCTATCTCTTTCTCTCTCTCTCTCTCTCAGACGTATATGAGAGTTCATCTTTTAGTTTAAATTTCACTTTTAAATCAATCGTCATTTTATTTCAATTAATTTTAACCCAACTACCATTGTATATTTTTCTTTTTTACTCTGCTACTATTACGAAGTGTGATTGGCTATTCTTTCATGGCCCTAGGGACTCATTACTACTTCCTCCCCGACGTCAAAAGTTCCAAAATAGACTAGAATGTCAGTCAGGAATAAATAAATTGAACATAGCATTCTCAAAAACGTCCTGTGGTCAGATGATCGACCCTCCAAATAGGTTAACTGGAAGGTCAAACCAGAACCTGTTGCACGATCTGCAAGACATAGTGCCATTTTTAAGAAGAATATTAAGAATAACAATGGAGCAAGGAGGGCATTTTCAGAAAAAAATGAAAAGTAAAAGGACACTTGTAATTTCTGGTACTCATAATGGGGAAGGATGGCTTGGCGAATTTGACACTCATAGCAGATACTGAATGCAAAAGGGACATATAAAAACAGCGAGTAACCTACCTAACGAGCTTGTGTATAAAGTGTCGGCTTCAATTTTTTTAATACTTCGAGGTTCTATCGTTTTATAGTGTTATTTTCTTATTTATTGTGTTATTAATCTTTATTTTCTATACTAAGAATGTGAACATTATGTCTTCTTATTTTTATCATAATCCATTCATATAGAAGAAATACTTGAAGTCCTCCCACCCCCAAAAAAGCTCCGTCTTCAAGTTCACATATGAACTTAACAAAGATAACAAAATCCCCTTCCTTGACATTTTAGTAGACAAATAATATCACATTTACTAATCCCCATATAAAAACAACCAACAAAAACTCTTACATAAGAGTGATTGTCCTAATTACTACAAAATGGCATTTCGAATTTAATTAATGGAGCACAAATTAATTCGCCCACAAAAAGATTTTCTACATTGAACTAAAAATTATTAAGCAGACTCTCATTAATAATGACTTCCCAAACCACATTGTAGATGAAGAAATAAGATGATTTCAAAAACCTCACCACACGTTAAATAGAACATAGTACTTCTTCAAAGGACCCTAAAAATATGAAATTCTTATATTGTAACCAGATGCATGCTAACTACAAAGAGGATGAGAAAATAATAAAAACCCCATTCGTACCAATATATCTCCCATGGATCCCAATAATAAAAATAAATCATATATTATGCAAAATACCCCTCCTCTCCAACTGATGTATTACGTAAAACCAACATTATATACCAATTCAAATGTCACTTGGGAGAATGTATCTCCGACAGAGAAACAAATCTATATGTTGGATATACAACAACTACATTATCAAGACGTTTTACTCTTCACGTTTGACCATTCGTCTATTGCGAGACATTTACACCAACATTCCTGTCCACATTCACAATATAGAAAAATACTGATTGATAACACAACTATCCTACACCAAGAAAATAAGAGATTAAAACTACAGATCCTAGAAGAAATCTACATTAAAAAAAAATGGAGCCGACACTGAAAGGAATCAGCTACGAATTCTATAATAATGTTCTAAAATGCCAATAAAAAGAACAGTTTTCATGATTTAATGGTCGCTTCACCATGACATTCCAACATAAACGAAAAAAATGCATATAAAGTTTTACGTTCTAATGAACGTTAAAGCGTAATTGTTAGCCTTAGAATGTAAACGTAAAAGAAAAAAGATTCAGTAATGGATAGGTATACATAGTTTTTGGCTTACCAGTTGCATTCCTGATGATGATCTCAAAAAGAGATGGAAAATACTTGTAAAATTGATTCTCATTGTTACAGTACATTTCTTACCTTATTCAATTGTAATATACAGAAAAAATATTCGTAAATATGAAAGGATTATGATAAAAATACGCAGACATAATGTTTGTAATTTATTCAATCAGACATAACTATATATATATATATATATATATATATATATATATATATATATATATATATATATAAAAAAAAAACACTAATATTCCATGGTCATAATTTATTCCATTGGAATCGTAAATACGATCCAATTCGTCATATCTGATGAATTGGATCGTATTTACGATTCCAATGGAATATATTATGACAATGGAATATTAGTGTTTAAGCTTTTTTTATTATATCCTTACTCTGTCCTGGACATTGAGTTCTACCTAGATTCTATCCTCTTGGAATTTTTATTCAAAAAATATGCATGTATGTGTATGCACCTATGTATATATATTTATATATTTTGCATATGTATGAGTATATTTACCACTAATATTAGCTAAATATATATATATATATATATATATATATATATATATATATATATAGAGAGAGAGAGAGAGAGAGAGAGAGAGAGCTATGCATATTAACATTTACAATGCTCAGTTTCAAATTTTGCCTAACGATTGACACGTAGATGAAAACATATATATATATATATATATATATATATATGTTTGTGTATATATGTGTTACTTATAAATCTCCAGGAAAATTATTTTATTATACAAAGACAATATCTTCATTGACGAGACAAGATGCGATTCACGCTCAGCGGCTAAAAGCTTTTAATTCAACTGTATCGTTATAGAAAATATATTTTAACTAATTTAAAATCGTTTTTTTTATTGTTCTTCCTGTTATACGTATCCCACACGGCTTCGACATTCTTTTAGTAAGAAAAGACAACAAAATTTCTTAAGTTGGAATGAATAAATCGGAGAAAAATTCCAGAACGAAACAAAGAAATCAGCCAAACCATGGAAGGACCTGAAATCTTACATTCTGAAATAAGATCTGCAGTGGCCAAGATGAATGGAAAGAAAGCAACAGAACGAGATGGAATTGAAATAAAGATGCTTAGATGATTACGGGATCAACATAATGACGGATATAATGGATGAAATATACCACAGAGGTAACGTAGCAGAAGACTTTACTAAATCTATCTTCATAGTGCTCCCAAATAAGCGAGGTAAGAATGAATGCGAGCTCCATCAGACGATTAGCTTAATCATCTGGATTATGATACATAGAGATTAAAGCAAAATTAAAATGGCTATTGAACAGAACTGTGTAGCAGCTTAAATACATTTGATAAGAACAACATTGAAATAATTGAACAGATGAGAGCACTTATATTTGGGAAAGATATTTGAATCATCCAGATTATTTGCTGCAAACGGAGGCCATGCATAGATAGAAAATAGGTTAGGAAAGTAAACAAAAAGTAGAAAATGACGTAAAATAATGATATATCATCACAAATGATTTATTTAACAACGAGGGGATGCCAAGAGAATTAGAATTGTACGAGGATTTATTTTTGTGGACACGACTTTACCGATATAACCTACACGGATGTTAACACATGTTATTGATAGGAGACACAGAAAGGAAACTCCGGGAACTCCCAAATAGTAAAGGAAACCTGCAATAAAGGACTATTCATGAATTGTAAGAAGACGATAAGTATGGTCGTCAGCATAAGAACCAGCCTATAGTGCGTGGTACAAATTGGAAACGTCAATAGCAAACAAGTATCTGAAAACGTTTTCACATACAAAGCACTCTTTTTCCAAATAGGCGATGCATTTCTGTAATGAATTAAATAAAGCTAACATGGCGTGCTCGTAAAAAAAAATCTGCACCAACGGAGAAAATGAATAAACAAAGCCCTCCTTGCTTTAGTTATCAGTCAGTACTGAATGGATGACCGCTTGAGAATATCAAGTGCTTTAAGCTTGGATATGCTGTGGTGTAATGAACTCTTTAAATGAAACTCATTACACGAAACTTAAATGTGCTTCCATCCAACCCGGAAACCTTTTCTAATCATCGATGACTTTAAATTAGCGATATTTAAATTACACATGTCTATTTCGAACGCACTTTTGATAGCGGATACCATTTTGCCTAGACTGTCACACATCTACTATGTATAACTACACAGAAATTTACTTATTTGTAATTGTTATGGCATTCACCGGACATCGGTTGAACTAGCTCCGCCAAATGAATTTGCAGCATACCCAAACGTTAGGCGTTCAACATTATAAAAAGTCGCATTCATTTAAACGAGCAAATCCTTCGTGCTACAAAATTCCTGAAAAAATATTTCGTGTATAATCCTCACCCACTAACTGTTAGACCTTAAAATCTCGGTAAAATTGTGTATTATAAACGAACTAGCAGCATGGCACGGCGTTGCCCGTGCTTGATTAAAAAATCGTACGACTCATACAGCAATCGCTATCACTTGACTTAAAATATTTTTGCCCTTCCTTGCCTTTAAAGGAGTGCCCTTTGCCGTGCTGATGTTGCTACATGCCTTACTTCTTGCCTATCTCACACTGCGAATTTTTCTAAGCTCGAAACTAAACATTAAATCTGTTACGAAAAAAAGAACTAAACAAAATGAACACAAAACGAATAGCTTTAAAAAAGGACTCGTAACTGGAAAAACCGAATGAAAAAAGAATGTTAACAACAAATACTTTTTCACACCCAACCCAGTTCTGCGGAATCAGAATCAACGTTTAGTTTAAGCAAGCGAATGAGCCAATTGGAGTAAAGTGCCATGCAAATTTAAATTTTTCCCACTTGTAACGAATGCAGCTATCGATTTTTTTTTGCATGCTAGCATGTTAGTTAACATTCGTGTCAGTCAGCTGTTGGCTCTCACGCTAGCCAATAGAATCTTCCTGCCTACTACATGAAAACTGGCGTAGAAGCATGAAAAAATCGATTATTTCCACTATCGATGGAAGTTGAGAAATGCAAGGTCGGTCTTGGCCTTTCCGCTAAGTTGGAGCATGTGCTTGTAAATTTTGGTGCAAATCCTTCGAAAATTGCGGCCGTGCATTCGTTACACACATACACAAACACATCCTGCCTTTTATAGATAGAGACAATTAACACATTCACTTATGCTGACGTTGTTTTTAATGCTACCAGACATATTACTAGAACTTGTTCGGCTTTAGAAAAACCTGAGTCGAA